TGGGAAATAAAAAAAAGGGCGCAAAAGGAATTTTAGAAGGATGTCCAGCAACCCATGAATCCAAGTAGAAGGCCGGGAAAAAACAAAAACCCATAATCCAAAGTCACTTAAATCCAAATAAAAGTCTTTATTGAAAAAGTATTAAATGAAAAGTTAATAAATATTGTATAGAAAATTTATAAATTTTATAGTAAAATTTTGTTAAAATTTTATTAAATTATTAATTTTATTATATTTAATAAAAAAACTAACATAAAAAATTAATAAAAAGTTATCAATTGGACCTTTCATAAAAAAAGGTAGAAAAAAATTTACAAGTTTAAGATTATATTAAAAAAATAAGAATTAAAAATATCATTTTTATTTTTTATTATAATATTTATATATAAAAGTACGTAAATAACTCCATCAAAAAGAGTTTTCCAATCAAACAGCCCTAAGGCTTTGACACGTTAAAACCAAAACCAATTCTACAACCCATTTACACCTCATTTTAAGGCCAAAGCCCATGTTTATGGCCCTTATCTGTTTCCTTCAACCCTAAAAACCCAAAACCATTTCCATAAACCCATGTCTACGGCCGGCCGAACTCCAGCCAACCAAATAAAAGTAAAAATAAAATAGAAGGGAAAAGGAGCCCGGATGAGATCGCGAACTGCAACTCGGGCAGTGTCGACAGTCCAGAGATTTGAGTCACCAGGGGGCACGGAAACACAAGGGAGAATTAGAGTTACAGAGGTCGAAATTTCTGAGAGCAGACTGGACTTTTTGGGTATTTCATTTAAAACCTAGCTCTCTTTATGGTGTGAGAAGTTGTCGTTGTTATGATACTAGTTGTCAAATGCTTGATTAAACGTGAAGATTGAGATTGATTAATTTTCTGCCGCTCCCTTTCATGTCTCTCAAGTGTGCCTATGATGCCAATTTTTAATGTTATCCGTGGTTCGTTCTTGGCACCTTTCTGCTACCCGAATGTTTGTTGACAATGAGATGAAATCTGGAATATATGTAGCCCTTCTTTTTTTGTGTTCTCTCTGTATCTATGTTGAATTTTATTTTATTTTATGGAGATAGTGAATTTGTTCTTGGGATTATATATGCCATACTTTAACTTAGAGCTTCATGTGTTCAATTTTCTATGCCCTGTTTCTGTTCTCCAGCTTCATTTTATTTCCCTTGGCTTCTTTTCAATTGGATTTGTTTTTTGAATCTTGAGTTTTCCTTTTGTTGGGGCTAGCTGTATTCGCTTTTAGGTATTTGATGATTTTAGGTTAAGTGGATTAAAGGGTGAATAGTAGAATCTAAGTTAAAAAAAGAACGGAGAAATCAGAAGAACATTAGTGGAAAGAAAACTAAAGAATGAAAGAATTCGAAAGAAAACACACACAGAGAAAAAGAAAATTGTTAAAAGTTAAAAATCATTAAAAGAATGAAATTATTGAATAAGAGATTTAACAATATCATTTGGTTGTTTGAATAGCTTTTCTTGAGTGATTTTGTTCTTGGTGACTCATTGTTTACACATTTTAACACCTTTTTTTTTTTTTCTTTTTGAATTTTAAGTGGTCATAAACAGCTGTCTCTTTGGTTCCTTCACAAGTTTCATTCAATATGGCACTGGCAGCGAAAACAAGCCGAGCAGTCCAAAAAATGGATGATGAAGACGATGATAAGCTGACATTTGAGACCTCTGAGGGGATAGAGCCAATAATGAGCTTCGAGGAGATGCAGCTCAAAGATAACGTGCTCCGTGGAATATACGACTACGGTTTTGTGAAGCCGTCAGATATTCAAACAAGAGCTTTGATGCCTATAATCAAAGGCCGTGATGTTATTGCACAGGCCCAATCTGGGACTGGCAAGACATCCATGGTTGCCATCACCGTTTGTCAGATGGTCGACACCTCTAGCAAACAGTATGTGCAATTTAATTTAAAATTTTCATATTAGAATCAATCACTAATTGCTTAAAACCTACAAATTTACAATTTTGGTTATATTGATAAAGTATCTAAATTTCATGATTTTGAATTTTCTTTGAGCGGAATATATATATATATATTTTATGTATTATACAAAGCAAAGCAAGTGCAATTGTACATGTTACAAATTATAAAAAAGTTAAGCACAAAGTACAAAACTCATAAAAATTGGCACCTGCGGGAGTGGAACCCACGGTGGGTTGCATTTCTTTGAGCAAGTAGCAAACCCTAATTGCAAAAATGTCAAATTTTGAAAACCCTTAATGTAGCAAGTAGCATTGAAGTTGCCCATGTTAAATTTGGATGAGTAACTGGTGAAGCTATAAGGGTAAATAGTAGTTCAAATTTCTTGTACTTGTATAGATATGTATTGCTGTTTGTTTAGTGCAAGTAGGATAGTTTTGTGTGGGAAGAGGTATATTGGGTATATTTAATTTTTAAACCTTGACTATACAAATATGGTTCAGAGTATAAAGATGTTTAGCATCTCTTGAATTTAGTTTGCTAAATATTGTTATTCTGTGGTGTTCACACTTTATTGTTAAAGGGTTCAGGCATTGATCTTGTCACCTACAAGGGAATTGGCATCTCAAACTGTGAAGGTAATATTGACCATTGGTGATTACCTGAACATACAAGTGCATACCTGTATTGGGGGCAAAAGCATGGGCGAAGATATAAAAAAGCTTGAACGTGGTGGTGTTCAAGTGGTTTCGGGTACTCCTGGTAGAGTTTGTGATATGATCAAGAGGAGAACCATACATACTAAGTCCATTAAATTAATGGTTCTTGATGAAGCTGATGAGATGCTAAGCAGAGGGTTCAAGGATCAGATTTATTTCCTCTACAGGCATCTCCCTGCAGAGATTCAAGTAATTTTCTCTTCTCCTTTTCAAAGGCCATGAGTGGAAGCATTTTGTTGTTTGGTTGTGCTTTTCTAGTTTGCTCTGCAACAAACTTGTTGGGTAACTTCAGGGCTCATTCCTCTTTATGTTCTTTCTTTTTCCCACATATTTTAAGGTTGCATATTTTGGTAGACAATTCAAACAGACATTTTATTAGTTCTAAATTTTATGAATTTTTTTTAGGTTGTGTTGATCTCTGCTACACTCCCTGATGAAATCTTGGAAATGACAAACAAATTTATGACTGATCCTGTGAGGATTTTGGTGAAACGCAATCAGTTGAGCCTAGAGGTAATTTGCCATTTGACTCTATATGACTCTTTGAGTTCTGATAGTGGCTTCCCAGAAAATTAATTCTGTTTTTTCTTATAATAATAGGGGATCAGGCAATATATTATTAATGTTGAAAAAGAGGAATGGAAGTTTGATACTCTATTAGATCTTTATGAGACACTAACAATTCGATCAGCCATTATCTTTTGCAACACAAAGAAAAAGGTAATGATGTGGTGATCATTATATTCCCTTAGTATTCATTTATATTCCTGTTCTTCCATATTTCTACTTTGCAAGTATTTCTTATGCAAAATTGTAAAATGGGAAGTCACTTGACTGTTATTCTACATTTTGTTTCAATAGAATCCATATTCTTATTGGATATTTGGTTTCCACTTGATTTTGTTCTACCTTTTTTTGTAGTAGTTACTAGGAAAAAAATAATATTATTTTCATCATGATGATGTATTTCTCTTTGCTTAACTTCTCCAGTTTAATTTCTGTCCTCTAAAACCATTAAGTGGTTTTGCATCAACACTGTATTTGATATTCATGCAGTGATCTTGATATTTGTTATTTATGTTTTCCATTTCTGGAACAGGTAGATTGGCTAACTGAGAAGATGCGTAGCAATGACTTCCCAGTCTCATCAATGCATGGGGACATGCCTCAGAAGGAAAGAGATGCAATTATGGCGGAGTTTAGGTCAGGTCTGACCCGAGTTCTCATTACAACTGATATTTGGGCTCGTGGGCTTGATGTTAAACAGGTAAGTCACTATTATTTGTTCTTTTTCTTGATTTACTCAGTCACCTAGTTTCTAGTGAACTAAGATGGTTTGACTGTCGATCCACTTGTATTGTTGCAGAGTTAATAACCCTCTGACCTGTTAAAACATGACAAATTGGCCATTGCTGGAAAACCAATGAAAAATATGTGGGAAGAAAAGAGAGGACTCATTGCATATAGATTTATTTTGTTAACATTTATATTGTGTACTGAACCTCAAATATATGTTCTTTGGTCATTTATTTTCATGCAGGTGTCCTTGGTCCTCAATTATGATCTTCCACTCAGTCGAGAGCTCTATATTCATAGAATTGGTCGGTCAGGCCGTTTTGGACGCAAGGTATTCCTTCTTGTTTTTTTGGTTCAACTTGTGTTGCATATCCTTCTCTCGTTTCGGTTGGTTGCATATGAGATCTATTGTTTTCTCCTTTTTCTTTTAATTTAACAACTGCTGCTTCTATTAAACCTCTCTCCAGGGTATTGCAATAAATTTTGTTAGAAGTGATGATAGCAAAATACTTCGTGATATAGAGCGGTATTATGGTATCCACCTCCCTGAAATGCCGACGAATGTCGCAGATTTGATGAAACGTGAATGCTAAGCTCCCTGATGCAAAGAAATATTTGCCCGAAACTGGAATGCTAATGCAAATTGCTAGAATTTTGGAGTTCAATTTTTGAGTGAGATACATACATCCTGATTTATCTTTTATACGCGGAAAAAATTCGAAATAAAAATTTTGGTTCAAGTTATTAGACGTGCCTCATCAATTCATTTTTTTTCTTTCTTTAAAACTTACCCCTACTAACCAAATGCAGACATTAACGCTTCTCTAAAGTTTAATCTTATACATCGTATTTTTGCAATAGTCCTGATTGTGGGTGAGGTTGATCCTATATTTAAGGGACCCCTCTCCCTCTATAGTTAGTTTTGTGCGATTTGTCATGCAACATTTCTATTACAATAATTAAAACTCTTTTAATGTGGTTACGGTTGGAGCTCTTTTTTTTTTTTTTTTTAAATTCAAATAATTATAATTATAATTATAATCGATAATTATTTTATTATATTATAAAAATTGTTGAAATCTTCAATAATCTCAAATAAATAGCCAATGAGTTTAAATAAATTTCAATAAAACCTCAAATAAATACCCAATAAACTTATTAAAGAAAATTCATTAAAAAGGTTAAAGCTTGATTAAAAAAAAGAGAGGCAATATTTAATAAGGAAAATAATTTTACTTTATTATAAAAATTATTAGAATCTTCAATAATTTCAAACAACTTAAATAAATTTCAATAAAATGTTGATTAAATACCCAACAAATTGATTAAAAAACTCATTCAAAAAGTTGAAATCTGATTAAAATAAATGCAATACTAATAATAAAAATAATTTTATGATTTTTATAATTCTCCTTATCTGTTTATGATAATATTCAAGAATAAATATATAAATTTAAATTTGAGATTGTTGATATCGGGAACCCTAGGATCACCCAACTGCCTATCAAACCATTCTCCATGTTCACTCGATCCCTTCTTAGGTCTCTGCTACCACCACGTGTTTCACTCGTTTTAATGCACTATAAATTACTTTAAAGATTCTGCATACTCATCGTTGAACTCTTAATTTTCTGAAGCAAAAAAAGGGAAGGACACATTTTTGTACGAGTATTCTGAAAGCTTTAGTTTAGAGCCAAAAAAAAAAAAAGGCTTTATATTTAAAAGTCTTGCAATATATATATATAGAAAACTGAATCTCAGCTGGCAGTATCAATATTTTGTCGGAATGAATTATTAAAACAACATTGTTTCAAGTTAGAAGTACAAAATCTCAATTTTACTCGTCTTCAACTTTCCCTGTTTTCGCTTTTCAGAATTTTACAAAACCCTTAACATGAATTCGTTCTTTGTACTCTTCATATTCACACCAATAACCTCATCCCCTCTTCTTCTTTGATTTGCCCCTGGTTGTCTGCATTTAAAAGCCCTCCCATGTCTGCCCTCCCATGTCTGCCTTCCCAGGTAGTTTTTTGTGCTGCTAAGGTAGGGGCCGTCCGTGCCTTGTCAAATCTCAAGCTTCCACATTCTCCTTACGAAAACAGTAGTTAAGCCAACTCAATCAAGAACTTCCCACTGACTGCCTTTGTACCTGTCGGATCCCGTTTTAGACAACATGACTATCACGCCCCAGAACCCAAATCCGAGGCGTGACAGATGCCGTACACTCGTGAAACGAGTCCCACAAATGCACAAGGCTCGAAACTTAACATATCACAATCTGATACCACCAAAATCTCCAGATCAAATCTTATAACTCAAGGTCAAATCTCTTGTAACTAATAATCCATTCAATGAATTTATAGAATCTCTAATTAAAATCCAGTTTACAAGATCATGATCTATATCTAAAATCTATATCAATCTCGAAATGGCTAGCCTTCTAACTCGTCACTTCTCGTGGTTTCCCTGTCCTCGGTTTCATTTCTTGAAATGGTAAACAAGGAAAAACTATGAGATAAACTCAGTAAGTAAATATAAACTGCCCCTTATTAAATTTATAGCATGCCAACAAGTGTAATCATGAAAAACGGATACAGTACGGGAACAAAATAGATGTCTCCTCTATAAGTCACGGCTAGTGTTATAAACCTCCCACTAACAGGCACACAATTTACTAGTGTATAATCCCCACTAGCAGGGTCACTTAAACGAACCGGTTCTATCACTAACATATCGACATGTGCCAACATGTGCTAGCGTTTAACCCCCACTAGCAGGGTTACAATAACATATCGACATGTGCCGACATGTGCTAGCATTTATAAACTCCCCCACTAGCAGGGTCACTAATAACATGACCACATCGGAGACAAAACAGGCAGAAGTTAACAAAAAAATCATGCTTTACCAATCACTTTCAAATCATTAGGACAATCAATTAAACTTTCAAGTAGGCATGCTTAATTTAATGAAAAGCATAGAAATCTCACTTCAAATCAATCATGCAAATTTTTGTATAAAACGGGTTTAGCCCTGCCACCACTTCAAAAACAAACCAAAACATGCTTTTAAAACAGTACAGGCATTACCATCAATTTACTTACCTCACTCGCATAAAACCGAGCACTCAATCTCAGTGCTAACTGACAGAACGATCGGGAACCTAATCAAAACACCTTAGAATTAATACCAGACTATCACAAATTCAAACTGAAATCATCATTAAAATCACTCCTAATCCCGATGCTATTTCCTATCAATCTCCACATGATCAGATATCTCCAAATTTATTCTTATATCACAAACTAAACATTTAAATCCCCGTTAATTGTAAGCCCTATATCACAAACTAAACATTTAAATCCCCGTTAATTGTAAGCCCTCGGGGTGTGAACAGTAACCTGTGAACAGTGCCCGTGAACAGTAACCCCGACATGAACAGTAACTCAAACTTCCAAAATTGGCCAAAACACTAGCTAATCACGGGGTTTTCTCTCCAAAAATCACAACAATCAATTAACACTCAATCACATAAATCCCACTTGAATTAACACTTAAACTTTATCCTAAAGCTACCGGAATTATCCCCTAATTTCAGCCAAATTCGGACACCACAGGGGCAGCAAATTAATCAAGCTAATTCTACCTTAATCAAGCTTAAAAACAATGGTTTAAGGCTGCCACATACCAGAATCCAGCAAGCAAGGCCGGAGCTGCAAGTTGGGGAAGAAGGCCGGCGGGAATGGAAGGAAAATTCTGCAGGGGACTCACGGTTACTCAAAATTAATGGAACCCAACTTAAATCAAAGCTAAAAGGAGGAAATCATGGCTGTTTCTTACCTAAAAATGCCCAGAATTCGCACCCACAACAAGAGCAGCCGGCGGACAGCAGAGGGAAGAGCAGAGCAGATCCGGAAGCTTCCTGCAGGGGGGAGAATTTCTGGGTTCCATTTCAGTCTTAGAACAAGAAAAGAAGGCCAAAAATCAAGCTCTCTATCGGTCTCTCAAAGGCTGGTGCCGGCGGCTTGCTTGGTTCCTTCTTTTAGGGCTGCAGCGGGAAGAAAGAAGAAGAGCCGAATCGGGCGAGGCTGGGAAGAAAAGAAAGAAAGAAAAGGAAACAGGAAAGAGGAAAGAAGCCATCCTTATCCAATTATTTTCCCTCTTTTAAGTCCCTCAAGTTTGGGAATGTTGGCTATTAAGCCCAAAAAAATATTTTCCTCACAAATTAGTCCCTAACTCACTTATTTATTCTAGAAATTTTTGGGGTATCACAATGACATTAATAAATAACATTTTTTTTCTTTTATTAATCAAATGGAAAACGTTTAGGATTTTACTAAAATTATAATAAATGCACATTTTTATAATTAATTTTTATTAAAAGTATAAATATTAATTTTAATTTAATTAATTAACTAATTAAAATCATTCATATTCAGTGATGTTAAAATATATGCTAATTTTTATAATTTTAATGTAAATTAATTATAAAAAATACATTTATTATACTTTTAAATACAAGTTAAACAAA